AAAAAAACTACATTTAGAGGCGTTTTTGTTTTCTGTATCAATTTAACCAACAGAATGAACTGACAGAGTTAACATAATTATCTATTCTATGATTTTGTTGCTTAAATTTAAAGTCAGCTTAGTAACAGAGCCATGGTTAGCAATTCCTCGTGTGAAATTTGATCTCAGTATGCACGAGGTTTGCATATCCTCATGAGCAAAGAATGGATGAAATTTAACCCTAAATGTTACACTCTGCACATGCTCTGTATGCATCATGTAACCAAAAAGGAAAGCAGTGTGAACTTTCTGTGTACATGATGTTCTCTTTGTACTGTATTTATGGAATTTATTGCATCTGTTTATGAGTTGTATAACCAGTAACATGATTAACAGAGCTGTCCAACCATCTAGTTGGGTGTGTTGAGACGGTGTCACACCTAGCACCTTAACAGCAATTATCAAATGATAACACACACATTTTTTTGCCCCACTTCCCTCAGGCAGAAGGTTGAGGAATGTTAAGGAATAAGTGCAGAACCACTATTCAACCTTTATTTAAACAGGTTAGTACTGTAGTGGACTAGGCCTACGTCAAAACTAAGTCTAAGGTCAAAACTCTTGACCTTAAGAACCTTGTGGGACAGAAGCTGTCATTTCATGTATTTGAATCCATAAATACAGGTTCACCCATCCTGAGACTTTCTTTCTTGAAGATTCAAGTGAAAAGAACACTCTCTTTTTTATTATCATTACTACCACAAATGTTGATAATCAAAGTGTCTTAGTTCAAACCATTTTAGATGTTGCAGTGAACTAATCAATTTTATTAACTGAGTAATGATTTTTATTCTCATGTTAAAAGCTGTTACAGAGTTTATGCATTTTCTGATTTCTGCCTTTGAATGAGCAAGTGTGTGCGTTCCAAGGTTGGAGTCAAACGAAAAACAAGTTGTTATGTTAAAACTGTCATGTTTTAGAATCCTCTCAGACGTAAATATAGATGTTTTGCACCTGTTTCTGAAACACGCCAAAACAAAACTCTCTCTGTCTGTGAGAACATTTCTGATCTGTCTCATAACAATTCTCGCTGTCTCTAACCTCTTACGTCACAAAACACACCCCGTCTGGTCGTTTCTGACCAATGAACAAATCCCAAAAGTGAACGGGGAAAGAGTCTTTAAAATGTCAGTACTTCCTGGTCTGGTCAGAGCAAAAGTTCTGATGGAGTTCTAAGAGTTCTGGAGTTCAGTAGTTGCTAGAGTTCTGTGGGAGTTCTGTAAACTACACAAGTTCTGCTGAGTTCTGATGGAGTGCTGTTGGAGTTCCTGACATGACAACAAAGCTCTTCCGAGTTCCATGGGATTATAACATTTTCCACTGAGGTGAATATGTGTCGAACAGAGCCTCGCCATTACTTCGGACGAGTAACAGCATCCTACTGAGACGCTGAAAGGGTGCGTTAAACGGAATCTCACCTGAGACATCTCCAGGTAAAGGAGCCGATTTCATCACCTAAGTGTACTGTAAGGAAAAGCTGAAGAAAGCCGGAGAGTGTCGATTCTGGTGAACACTTAATTTCCCTCACACACCATCTTACTCCCTCTAAACTTCTTTCCATCTTTAAACTTTTCTATCAAGTAGAAATTCTTCCAGATATTTTAGAAATGTCTGTGTAAAATGCTCACCCACATTCATGTGGGTAAAAGATCATAGTTGTACAGTTTTTATAAATGTCTGTGGTGCAGCAACGGAAAAATCATGGCCGTATGGTTTTTCTGATTGATTGCTTATGTTGTTATTTTCATAATTTGCCAAATTAATGTACATGTTTGATGTTAAATTTTGATTCTGTAAATAAATGACCGCATTCATTTTGATGGGTCAAATATAAATGACGTCTCACGTTACATTTCCTTAAATTCAATGCACGTTTTATTCAGTCCAGAAAAATGAGGAATCCGTGTTAAATGATGAATATATCCCAGCATCTGTTCATCTACAGTCCCATTGAGCCACAAGGACTAATTTACAAGAGAAACCTGAACTGAGGAACAGCTTTTACCCTGAAGCTGTTAGTTAGACTCATGAATCCCTAATCTGGATTATCACTGAGGGAAAAAAAAAATCACTCTAAAGCCACTTGATTGTTGATGTGTGCTGCTGACTATCCATGCTGCTGATTTCTTTCATGCTGCTGTATACATTCGTACTCATCCACTCACACAGTCTCATGCTTGTGTTGCTGTTTTTTTTCATTCATTCATTCAACCTTTATTTAGACAGATAAGTCACATTGAGCGTTGAAGACTTATTTACAAGTGAGATCTGTTTAGACAGACAAAAAGTAGTGAAACTGGATACGTAGGAATTGGAGGTGAAAAAAAATCCTATCAGACTCTTTGTTCTTGGCTGAGAAGAAAAACTAATATTAAAAAACACCTTGCACAAACAGCACATAGTGACGTATACATTCTGCGGGGTGTGGGTGGGGGGTGGGGGGGTGATCAAGAGTTATGAGCACTGTCCATGGACGCTCTCGAGAGCACTGTAAGAATTCTGATAATCAGCCAGTTTCCTTCGGTGAGATACGTAAACATTCTCGAGGGATGTCGGGGAATTGCCAAGGACAACGCCAATGGGAATCCAAGAGTCCTGAAATGATGACACAATGTTTACTCAGCTGGTTTTCTCTGGTTATCAGTTGGAAATTCCTCGATGAGAGGGGGGGAGGGGGCAGAGCATTCGATTACATGTTCTCCAGGCAAATTCAGATAAGGTGGCCTTCAAGGCCAGTCAAGGGAGCCAAATTCAGATAAACAAACAGTTGTTTTGGGGACAGGCAGACCTTAATGACATCTACCTTGAGTCTGTGTTGGTCCAAACGGTTCCGAAATGTCCAAATTACACGGCAACACTGATGGAACGTGCCTGAGTAAAATCCCCGAGATCTGATCCATTCTGCCCAAAGCATTTGAGTCTGGGTACTCGAGGCACAAACCAAGCCATCATAAGGCAAGCAGTGTGATTGGGTCCTTATGTTCACCTGTTGTTCAGCGTATTGTTTTTACGCTCTTTAGTGCTTAGCGTATTTCTTAGTTCATATCTTAGGTCTTATTACTTTTTTTTTTACATTTTATACTTTTGTTGGATGTAGCTGGGACCCTGTGTACACAATTTCATTCCATCACATGTACCATATGCAATGCAAATGACAATAAAGAACCTTGACCTTGACCTTGACAATAGCCCAACTCTAAACTACCACCACAGCACATTTTAGTTTAATATCTGTCAAGTTGACTATAGCAGCCTTGCTGTTTTCAGTGGTTGATGAGCTGTGGTGACCATTATGAATCTGTTGTAGATGTACATCCAATGATCATTTTCTGAGAGTTATATTAAAGTATGTCCATGAAACATTTTGCTGACAAGCTTGAGTCCAATAGTTGACTCAGGGAGTTCCATTAAAATCTGTCCACAGGCTCTTGAAATATTTTTTTAACACAACAAACACTCACAAAGGCAATAACATAATAACCAGCTTTTTGGTGGCAAAGTATAAAGACATAAAACAATTCAAAATTCGAAGAAAATGAATACAAATAGCAGCTAGTTGAATTAAATACCGTTTTTAAAAATGACCACAGTTTATTTTTAAAGCAAACAAGTTTTATGCAAATATTGAGTCAACGGAGACAAGGAGCAGCAGAGCTTGGTTAAAGAGGTTGTGTTTGTTCTGCTGTATTACAAGTTACAGGTTGTTGATCCAGAGCAAAGGCTTTATGTTCACCTGGAAATTACAGAAGCCAGGTAAATATAAGAAACGACTCAGACAACTGCTCATTAAACTGCAAATCAGACCTACTGCCTCATCATGATGAAAACATGGATTCACGCCCTCCTCCAATGTAGCAAAGTGACTTTTATTTCACCAGTTGACAAGTCACGCCACAGCTGCATGTCTGTACATATTTCCCAAACGTGGTTTTGTATTTGATTTATGTGGTCAAACCAGTTGAGCTCCTCTGAGAGTGTAACCTTAGCAAACTCGTTGTGCGCTGAATTCCCTTATTAGTGTGAAGCAAAAGTATGAGTTGTTAAGATGAAAACAAAAGGACGACAAACTTGTTAGTGAAGACAATAAACTGCAAACAGGAAGAAACGTTAACATAATGTTCATTGTTCATGGAGCAGTTATGAGGAGCTAAATTAGTAAAACACATACTTTCTTTGTAGAGATGAATTCAAGCTTGTTGTTTAGTTGCTATTTTAACTAAAAATACTTATAGACTTTGACCTGTGTGGTTTGTGTTGGTTACTCTATAACAAGGAACAGAACAGGAAATTTCAGGATAATGTGAGACACAATCAGACAACAAGGAGGGGGTGAGAGAGAAAGGAGAAAAGGGGTGGGACGTCTCATGAGTCTAACAAGAAGTGTGGAGCAGTTTTCACATGACTCACACACCTAAAGGTGTAAAGAACCTGACAACCAGTGGATATTTACACTTTGAAAGAGCTTTTTTAAATGGATTTCTCAATACTGTAAGTAATCTGATTCATACTTTAAAAGGCTTATTTGTATATTGTTATACTATTTGTGAAGTTACATATATTCCTGCTTTTTTCCATAACTTTTTTAGTTTTTGGATTTCTGCTGATTGTGCTTTAAGATGTCATAGTGTGTATTTTAGGTGGCTTTGTGCACTAAAAAAAAAGAAAGTTAATTTTAGACAGTTAAATCTATTATCTATTATCATATTACTATAAAGGCTATTTATTAAAATTCTGTGTATTTTATTCAAGGTAAAAGCATAGGAGTAACTTTAATCTCCTCGTTGTCAGGAAAACAGAGATAACAGAGGCGATACCCAGGAAACAGCGTTGGACGCGTCATCTCAGCTAACTGCCTTACATGCCCGTTTGTACGATGAGGAGGAAAATAATGCACCTGCTTTACTAGAAAGTCAGGTTACACCTGAAAAAGACATGTGCCAAACAATGTTGTAGGACTCTCACGGCGCTCTGAAGCAGAATGTTTTCCTCTGAATGGATCTGGTGCATCTTACTGACGCTATACGGGTCGACCTGGAGTTTGACCTTTTCTGATTATGACACCAATACAATCATTTGCTCGCAGGTAATAACACCCCCACTCAATTCACTGAGATGCATGTAGGGAGAACTGTTTTTATTGGCAATGTGCACTTTTTAATTTCCTTTTTAGTATTGTATAACCCTGAGATTTAATTTCTCTGTGAACTTTATACTCGGAATTTAATTAAAAACTAGGGCCATCTGTCAGGTTGTCTTGTATGCAGAACAGAACATATTTCCTGTCTGTTCAGTTCTTTTGGTGAAATGTACGTCTCACTCTCTCTCATTGTCTGTTTCCAAGGGTCTTTCTGACTGCACCATAGAAAATGTTCTTTTTAGTGCAAACAGCACTGTTGAAGTTCAGATGCTTCAGACAGGTTTTAAGCTCTGCTGCAAGGAGGACACGGCATGCACACTGTGTCTGGTGATTCAGATAGAGCTCTACATCCCTCTGGAGAAGGATTTGGGTGATGAAGATCAATCGGGTGGTGATGAGGATGACAAGGAGACAATTAATGAAAAGTGTAGGTTGATTTCTTAAACTTTGCTGACTATATAATCTGAACATTTTGTTTTGCTTGTATGCAAGTCACCTACCATGAAAATATTACTTCTTTGCCTTTATTTTTGTGTCAAAGTTCAAAATGTGAAGGATCCAACTAACTTAATGATAGTCTCTCTGTTATTTGCGCCATCCATCCATCCATCCATCCATCCATCCATCCATCCATCCATCCATCCATCCATCCATCCATCCATCCATTTTCACCAACTTACATACATAAACATATGACAAATGCAAACAATCCAAATTGCATATTGAGCATATGAGCGTCCACAAAAGTTTTTTATTTTATTTTATTTTTTTTAATAAACTCAGGTGTTGTTTTTTGATTTATTTTTTAAAGAAAGAGAGGAAGAACTAAGCTAGCAGAAAACTGTTTAGCACAGAGGCATCAGATGTTCACAAAAATTACCGGAGCCTTCATATCACTATCACGTACACACTGCATGTTGCTACAAGGAAAAAAAAAAAAGAAACTTTTATAAATATTATTAATTTTAGTTTGAACTTGACAAGTGAGCCCATCACAGTAATCTTAAACTCACAGCCACCTTGCTCCTCGCCTGTACTGGAGCGTGCTGAGCGAGTTTAATAGAGACAACATGACCATGGAAAACTCCTGTCCACAAATAACTCCACTACCTAACTTTACAGCTGCAGTGATACACAATCTATTCTTTTTATCAAAGCGTACTCACAGCACAATGGCTCTATAACCCCTCTCTATGAGCTGAGCTCAGTCACTCTAAAGATGACACTCGTTTAGGCAGCCTGAACGTATTACTTCAGCTGAGGGTTGGAAGAAACAGATGCTGGTAAATTTAAAGCTTTGTCTTTAGGCTCAGCTCTGTCTTCATCACAGCTGACTGGAGCAGCACTCTCATTACTGCAGACAGCTTCAATCTGCGTATCCAACCTGCTGTCACGCTTGAACATAGCACCGACTTTTTGATGTTTTCTTGAGGCAGAGATTTGTTCCCATCCCAGAGGGATCATTCCACAGTTTTTGATGTAGTTTCATTTTTATGACTTATGTTCTTAGTTTGTATGTTTATTTTACAATATCTTGAATTTATTGGAGTGGTGGCATAGAGGTTAGAGAAGGTGGGCCTGTGTTGGAATGTTGTCAGTTCAACTCCCTGGACCAACAACATCAAAATGCGGGTGGAATAGGTGAAGCCCCTTCCTGCACCCTCATTTTCCCTACTCGCATTTGCATCGTTTCAGCCCAACATTTAACTCTTTTATCTCCATAGGTGATAAAATGAAAAAGTTACAGCTATCAGTATTGATGTAAATTTTTAGAAGTCACTTGTAAAGTGTTTATACGCTTCAGTTTTCTATTTGTTTTTTGCCCTAACCTGTACTTTTTCTGTTGCAGCTGCTTCTGTGACTGTGTGCTACAAAGCACCCGTGGGTTTAGCCACATGCAAGAAGGTGGAGTTTACAGTCAATCATGCTGTTCTTGCTCAACAAAAGCAAACCAAGGTGCTGTTCGTTTTTATGTACTCTGTACCACTGATGTGTTGCCTCGTCCCATAAAATCTGTACTTGTTTGTTCTCTGTAGGCGTCCATGGTGATCACGCAGTCTGATGGCATTACCTTCGGTGATCAAATATTTGTTTTAACCAACCCAGAGCAAAAACTCATTGCACCTTCTTTAGATGAAGGTATGGCTGTGATCACAAACACCTGTTTTGTCTCTAATCATAATTTTAAATGACCTTAGAGCACCAAAAGTAATTGAGTCAAGAGGTTTTAGTGTCATAAAAAGTAGCCCAATGAATCATTTGGAGTGAGTTCTTTATGGCAGGTCACTACATGTGCGGTATGACACACATTCCTGTTTGTCCACAGTGTGCTCCCAGGAACTGCGAAAACATCTACCAGAATGTCAAGGTGAAAAAGGGGAAAGAATGCACACGCCAGGGATTGTTTCAGTTTCTTTTGTGTCATATATTTCTTGAAAAAAAAAAATCTGTTTTCTTCTTTCAGTGCCCAAAATCAAGGTTTTTCTAAATAAAAAGACAAATCAGATGGAGCTTCAGTTTGGGGGCAGCGATAGGAGCCGTCCCTCTTTGTGTGTCCAGTATGAGGACAAAGGAAGCTGTCGGGTAAGGCAGTTTAAATCTTGTCACTTATGAAACATTTTCCTTTTAATTTCAGCTATAACATTTTTATTCATTTATTTATTTTTACATATTTTACCAAAGTTAAAAGAGGAAACACCATCTGAAGTAACAGCAAGTAATACAAAGCAAAAATACTATAGAAAAAACTACAACACGTGTCCAACAGACTGAATAGAAATGCTTATTCAGCACTAAACTTTTGAGTTAATGTTTTGATAAGCTCCTCATTTATGGTTAATAAAGCCACAATTAACATGTTTAAGTTATCCAATTAAACATGTTTCTCAATAAATCATTTTAACTGTTTTCTCAGCTAGAGATTCTTTCGGCTGCTCCTTTCTTCAGAGGTTGCCACAGTGAGAAAACTTGCATGAAAGATTTGGCAATTGTTTTACTATGGAAGAACTTCCTGATGCAACCTCGAACCCACAGCCTCAGGATTAAACTGTTTTTTTCAAATAGTTGTGTAAAAAAAAAAAATCAAAATTATTGCATGCTGACAAACAAGCTAATGTTTTCTGTCAAAACCAATAGAGGCCTGGTTGTAGTTCTGTAGCTTGAACCTCAAAGATCAGTGATGTTATAATAGTGACAGTATGTTCATAAATAAACTAGCATCTGAGGAAAGAGTGCATATCGCCACAGGTAATCATGCCAACGTTTCTCATAGTATGTGCTAGGTATGACTTTCAGCAACACATCAAAGTTTGAGCTCAGAATCTGTAAGAATGACTGAGTCAAAACCACTTTTGAGTTTGCGAAGGTTGATTAGCTGTGGCTGCCATCTTGAATCAAGTTAACTCCAAAAAATTATCAGCTGTTGCTTATATCCAGTAATTACCTTTTGCAAGTTTAGTTAAATTTAATCCAGTGGTTAAAGACATATTTTGCTAACAGACAAACACACATGCACTGATGGAAACCTATTTTTACATGATCACCCATCTTTCATTGTTTCACCCCAATAACAATGAAAAAAAGCATCACTTTCCATGTATTAATTTATTTAACGTAAAGTCACTAAGTGTGTCGGCTGGGATCACATGCTTGTTTTAGAGGTTATTACTTATAAAGAATGTCACATTATTCTTACCGTTGAGTCTGTCCTCAGTGTTTTGTTCAAATAATAAAATCACTGCAAAATGACACAACTTTCTAAATATATGTAAACACAAACTCATGAGTTTTTTTTTATGAATTTGCTCAATAAATGCAAACTCGGAATTTTATGAGGATAGTCTGAATTGTCAGTTTAAAAAATGCAATTAAGGCTTTACATTTCTAATTCAATACTCTTGTTTTGTTTCAATCTAAAGGACGTACAGTATCTTGTTGTGTTATAATTAAAGGGAGTTAACAAAGCTGGCAGACCTGATCCAACCCTCCATATACTCTGTTAAATATTGACTCTAGTCCAGACTTTCATCATATCCAACCCATCAAATTATGGCTAGAAAACCTCTGAGACTGCTGTCACTCATTTATTTTATTACCAGTAAAAAGTAAATAAATTGCTGGATAAATTTTGACACACTTCTGTTCTGGATAAAATGTACATCATAGTGAGGTTATTAATGTGTTTACTTTAATGTTGACTTCAAAATAAGCAAGGCAGTTAATGTAGGCTGCTGTATGTCTGACAAACCCCACATTATTTTCATTAAAGTCATGATGTGTTTAATGTTTTCTAGAAATTGAACCAGACGTCCATCCCACTGTATTCTGTGGCCCCCTGCATTTGTCTCAAGGTAGAGTCATCTTTATGTCTTTCAGCTGAACATAAACCATCTCATCCAGAAGGATATGCAAAGGTGTGAGTGTGTGTTTTCATGTGCTGCAGGCATGGTACGAGACAGGTCAAACATCAAGGCGTGCTCTGAAGTGTCCTTTCAAGGGCAAAGGTCAGAATTTTCATGTCTTTCTCAGCAACATATTTCTAATGTCCATTACAAAGTGAAGTCAAAGTGGTCAGTCCACCTTTTCATATGTCTGAGTCGTGTTGAATTTCTTTGTTTTTTTCAGAATTTCCACATTATTTACAACCCAACATGTGGAGGAATGTGTCAGTGAATGTAAGCCAGAGCAAAATGAGTGATGGGAACTCAATGCTGTTATGGAGCCTGTCTGCTCCCTGCAGGCTAGAGGGGATGGTGCAGCTCTGCTATAAGAGTAACTGTAAAGAAATCACTGCCATGCAGCAGCTGTCCGAGGGTAAATGGAAACAGAACAGCAAGGGACTTTGGGTAAGAACATAGTGCATTTGGAGTATTTTCCCCTTCAGCATTAATTTGTTTTTCTCTGAATCATACCACAACTAAAATACTCTGTTATATACTTCTTTACAAGTACAAAGTACTTAACGTGCAGAAAATTTCCCCCAGTTCCACTTGTTTTATACTTGTTGTAATTCTTCAGTAAGATATCAGACAAGTTGTATGCATTTATAGAGTCATATTGTAGAGGACTTGTGCATCATTTTAAATCTTTTTTTTAAATCTACTGTAGAGATAATTGGTGTACTTTAATGGGTCTAGCTCAGGGGTCTGCAACCTGCGGCCCTGGAGCCACATGCGGCTCTTTGGTCCCTCTGCAGCGGCTCTTTCAACGCGTGTTCAAAACTGACATAAAACTATATTTTATTGGTTATACAAACAAGAAAAAAGGGTGAGATCAAACAGTTTTCCTGTCATTTCTTTTGCAAAGTGAACACTAGCGCGAGTACAAGGAGAAATACATAGTCTGACTTGATGCTTTTTATA